AACACAGCATTTTTAAATGTATTTTCATACTACATTATACTGCAGTTATTAACGTTTTATTGACTTTTTATATTTTAACATTATACCCAATGATATGGTAATAATATAATATAATTATGTAGGTAATAATAATGATATTAATTATTATATAAACGAACAGTCCTATAGATGGGTACCTACATAGATACTATTTTTAAATATTATAATGTTCGTGTCGTGTGTGCTGCATCAGTGATTGCAGTGCGTAAAATACGACGTGTTGACGTAGGTACCTTATATATAGGTAGGTACTGCATCACTTCCTCTCGATCTCATTAGTGGCATTATTAATGCGGATAATTATTCTGGGCATATAGAATAGGAAAAAAAGTCGTTACTCGGTACTAACATGGGCGGGGCGTCWAACCTAGGGGCGAATTGAAGAAATATTTTAATGGAGGGTTAGCACTTATTACGGGAACGGGCAATGCATTCGTTTGTTGGCACTTGCGTGGTATTTTATTCACTATATGACGTTTGTAGGTGGTAAAATTTCAAAAGGAAATTTCGAGTGGTGTCTGGGGACTGAGAATTTTTTATGGGCACCACTCAAATATACATATGTATATATATTATACTTTTTTTTATTTATAAAATACAAATAATTATTTAAAAAAAAAAATTATATGAACATATTAAATAATAAGAGCGCAGATTTTTTTTTACGAAAAATAAACCTAGTAGGTATAGAACATGTTTTTTATTTATAAAACTTTATTTACAATAATAATATAATAAATAGTACAACTGTACAACATATTTAGTGAACGGCGTCTTGAAAAGAGCCAACATATTATAATATAATATTATTATTTAGATTAATAATTTAATAATGTCTAAAATTGATTATGGTACGTTGACCTTGATGAAATGATTTGGGTTCCCAGCTTTCGGTGAAAACCTCAAATTGACTTGATTCTTTTGGCCCCCGTTAACCGTCAAAAACGAGTTCCAGTCCACATAAAAGTACAAACCGTTTTTAGGTCGTTCGGGTCCAGGTGTAATTATTTCATCGATTACGGGTGGACTGCTGGCGGTCTCTCCTCCGCCAAATGATTCGGCCAACTGAGATAGACTTGGRTTAGTATCGGAGGTCGTAAAAGAATCTCTTGCTGCRCTAGCGCCAGACGTTACTTCTACGGAAGTTGCTTCCGAAGACGAATCAGTGGAAACCGACGACGCGACGACTGCTTCGGAGGACGTAGCGACGGCTATGGATTCTTCGGTAGAAGTGGTGATATTAGCTACGGCCTCTTCGCTCACTGGCTCTTGACGTTTCACSTCATTTTTGTTCTTTTCTAAGAGCATTTGAAGTTCATCGGTGGACAAAGGATCAGGCGGGTTCGGTGCTTTACTCAAGAGTTGAGTCTCTGAAACGGTAGGTGACTCCGGCAGATCGGAATCGACTTCTTTGGAGTTGTCGTCGAAGAACACTTCGTACCCGTTGAATTCTTTACTATTGCTATTATCGGATGGTTGATCAATWGCAGCTATGGCCGCCGTTATGTTTTCTAATTTCTTTTGGATGGTTTCCTGTGACAACGAAATAGTATTGTTATCGTCGGACAACAGTCGTATATTTTCCACTATCTTCGCTATCCTGTTCACATCTACGGTCTTTACGTTGGATACGGATGGRTTAAACACATGGTCCCCCCGGTCTGATGCATTATCGAGGAATGGTTGTAACTGAGAAATGTTTAATCCACTGTTGCCGGTTTCATTAAGAATTGATTTCAATAGTTTTTCGTCCACTGTTTCTGTAGCTGTAGCGTCGTCGTTTCGCCTCTGAGACTCATTAGATCGCCTCTGCGGTTCGTTGGAATTTAAATCAACTGATTTACCCGATTTTGGAGCATCCAATAGTCCGAAATTGTTTAGAAAATCTTTCATGTCGTCGTCGATTTTCAAATTTCTAGCTTCAGGGATTTTTTTAAACTTAGCGTACGCGTTCAAATCAACAGACGGACCGATATTTTTTTTCTGTGCATTTTTCGCGTCCATTGTTTGCAACATAATTTCAGTTTTTTTGTCACTTGATAAATTTCTGCCTTGCACTGTGACAAATATTATTGGTGTGGTCGAAGGTGGTGTCTGGTCAGACTGTGTATTTATGCTCATTGGATATCCATAGTTAAGTGGTGATTCGCCATTAGGGATTTTTGGTYGAGAATTAGAACTTTTTGTCACATCATCCTGGACGTGTGGCATTTTTGTTGTTGAGTACACGAAATCAGGSGATGGTGTGACATACGTAATATCTTTCTTGGCATTTACTACAGTTTTATCAGAACGACTTACTCGAGAGTTCTTTGAGAAATCGTTCAAAAAATCCAAAACTTCGCCACGAGTCATTTTTGGAAAACCAGACGATTCTAAATATTTCTGTACGCCTTCTACCGCAGAATCGAGTTGTTTTCCATCTAATGGAAAACTACGTACCATTGAAACAAGGACTAAAAGCAGTGCAATAACCTGCAACAAAAAATAAAAATATTATTAGAGTTGCCAATAAATTAACATAAAACATATAAAAAGTAAAAAGAACTAAAAATGAAGGTCGAAGTTGGTGAAAGTAGTTTATAAAATTGTAACATAACTAATTATAATAATTATAAATTGAAAAACCTTGAATAATATTTAAAATAATAATTGTATAGTGATGTTAATTAATTAATATATCTGAAAAATAAATATAACTAATATTATATAGTACCACTATATATTATGTGTTTATATAATGTTTATTGTATATTGAACACCTATAACATTATTTAACATTCATTGAGTACTTTAATCAACTTGGCAGTTAGTAAGTCAATATTTATTATAATATACAATTAAATACCTACTGATATTTTTAAATTGTCCTATAATTATTCTTTAAAAACAAATTATAAATTTAAGTTATCTTTATTATAATATAGGTACCGGTTAAAATAGCTGTAGTTTTGAAATTTTTAATAAATTATAATATTTATAATATTTTTAATATTTTACAATAATACATTATAATTTTCCAATTTTAAAATGAAAAAAAAACTTTTTGTTGTAGGTATTTTACCCTTTATTATTCGAAATACAAATATGCATATTACATCATGCCGACTGTCGGAGCAATATTCATCTTAACCTGGTTTAGTTATCATTTATAATTATTCCAATTAAATTATTATAAAAGAAAAAAAATCATAAAAATGTAATGTTATATAGATTAAAATTACACTACTTAATATGCATTTGTTGTCTCCGATGACATAACAAATTTACATTCATTAGTTTCAATGGTGCGCTGATAATTTTGATGTTAGAATGGGTTGACCTAATGTTAACCATATATTTTATTAGTACGYAAATCTCTATTAAACTATGTATTTAACTAATCCAAATATGAAATCGCAAATAATAAAATAAGACGYGATTATAATTTTATACTCTATATTTGTTTTATCGATGTACAAAATATTTAACAAATTACATCTAAAAATATACCTATCACTATTACTAACACTTATTGAATATTTTTAAGATATTGATATGATTTTAAATCTTTTTCTGTTACATTTTATATCTTTGAGAGCAAATATTGTGGCACCCTCTACACTAAGAATAAAAATAAATGGGGTAAAATATTATAGTGAAGTGAACATAGTAACGCCCTCTTGTGGTCAAAGTGTTGTTAGATTTGCTTGTAAAAGCCATCGTTAGATGTCACKTAAAATTATAATATTTTAATTTAAATAGCAGTATTTTTTTTTTATGTACCTGGATTTATATATGTATAGTATTGTATACAAAGTGTCTTACTATGATCTGGCATATGGAATAACTTTTGTTGTATTCCATAATATAATTTTTTTTCTATATAATTCATAGATACATGCAYTATATTTTTAGTATATATTTTTTTCTTTTAAATTGAAAATAAAAAACTAAAACATTGATAAAAAAAATGTTGCATAAATTCAAATTAGCCTATTTGTGAATCTAATTATAAGAACAATTTTGACGATACAAAGATTTATTTAAGTCAAGTAGTTTCTTTTTTAGTATTTTTTTAAATTCAATATTTTTTTGGTTAAATCAATTTGGAACGTAATAATTTTTTTAAAAATATGATTTTTGAAGATTTGCTTATATGAGTATATTTCTTAAACTATTTACTCATCATACAATATTCACAATTTTTGTCATATGTTTAACTAGCATAATTTTTTTTCGGATCTTTCTGAGACACCCATAGTATGGAAAAATATAAAATCAACTAATTTCATTAAAAAAATAAAGAGAAGTTTACATATTTTTATACAGAAACAAATAMTATTAGATACATCTTATTCTTATATATAATTCAGAAAAAAAAATTGTATGGTATCAATGGAATTTGTTAAGCGCTATGTTAATAATTTTGTATTATTAATATAGTACTTATAATATAGAGATCAAAAATCCGAGGGAAAAGAAATAAAAAAAAAATCCTTCAGGTTTAATAATAGGCTTAGCTTAAGTGCTTCGCTGTATAATAGATATTGAATGAACCTTATGAACCTCATCAATAAACTGGCCACTATATTACGAAACCATTATAAATGATTTGAATTTGAATTCAATGATAAATCATTATGATGAAAAACAAAACTTTGAGCGAAGACGATCTAACTTTTTGGTAACCATGGTTATTKGTTATATTAGCATATMATTTTTATAATAATTTTTAAATTTTAAAAAATTAAATTTTTCCCCTGATATTTTAATAAGTACTGGTAAATTTCCCTAAAGTACAAACTGGATACAATATGCTACAAACATCTCTCAAAATTGACRAAAAAAGCATTTTTTACTATAAAAAGTTACTTCAGTCTTCAGTCACAGAATGAAATAAAATAAAAATAAAAACAATACATCATCATTATAAAATCAATATAATATCTCAGAATCTAAAACAATTTTTTAATCCAAATGGTTTTATCAAATACTACTTTCACGATGCTATATATTATATATATATGCTATGCTGTGTATAACTTGCTACAGATCTTTCTTTAAAAATGAAACTCAAAAAGAGAAATTTTAGAATAGCCTTCTAAGCAAACAAGTTAATCGACGAAAGTCATACTGAATCAGAACTGACATAAGAAAAAAGAATATCTATTTACATATTATTGCGTATGATGCCGTTGAGAAATATAGAAATTGGTCTAAACTTTAAATAATTTAATCCCACTATAGGGCTTATCACAGTTTACAKTAACATCAATGTTACATGTTAGATATATCGTCAGTTTTTATTCTATAAATTCTAGTTCATGGCTAATAACTATAGGTCATTATGATTTTTGGTCATATTTCAATAATCAATATTAATAGATTTGAAAATAAAAAAAACTTCATTTTTAAGAAATGTATTTATACGTTGAGCCAAAACAACACAATTATTAATGCAGGGTATAATGCATACTAAACAGTGTCCTGGAGTGTACTGATTTTTTAAAATGATTTGTAGGTACATTGAAATTCCATTATTTTTGTCACTTATTTTTTAGTACYAAAACACTGCGGGGTATACCATTTATATGATATGTAATGTTATGTATTTTATATTAATATAAAATGTATATTTCCAGATTTTTAGAGTAACTATATTAATTTTACAGCCCTAATGTATCTAACGTTTTTTCTACACTATAGTCTATAAATGGTAAACATATCAATTTACAAAATATATAGCTCGATTKATCTTAATACAATCTAGCTCTATTACTATAGTTTTATAATATAGGCTTTATTTTATCTTAAAATCCTGAACCAAATTCAAGTTAGTTTCCAAATTTTATTTCAAGGAATATGTTAATTCTCAAACGTCATTATTGTTATTTTTTTGTTTTAGCTTTTAGTAAGATTTTAATAATATGATATTAAAATAGAAATAATTCACTTTACTTTTCAATGTTTTTTTTTCAATTTTAAAATGTGTATAAGAAAATGTAACTATCTGTACATTATTTAGTATAGAAAACTACAGTAGTAAAATGAAAATTAAATTAAACAAAACAGACATAATAGTTTGAGAGTGAAGGGATCATACGTCCATACTGCGACGGTAGTACTTTTCAATATAATATTGGGAAAAATAATTTAAAAAAAATTAATATAGGAAAACCAAGAAGTTATCGCAAAAACAGTTTCGGGCAAAATTAATTTTGTTTTAGTTTTTGAGTAAAGCAGAGATGTGAATGTACGTATTGATTTTACTATATTGCGGGTTTTTAGGACAGTAGAAATGCTTCAATTTTCAACTCAGGGGGTCGAAGGGAGTGGGTGAAATCTAGTAAAAAATTGGATCAAATGGGTTTTTTAGGGACTTTGCTTGTCAAAAGGATTGAAAATTGAAAACAGGATTCATGTAAGTTGTTTTTCATATACCAATAAAATATCAAAAATTCGCCATACTCATAATATTTTCATAAAATTTTCAATATTTATGCTATTTATGCTATTCAATATTAAGGATTGACGATTTAATACAAAAATCCTTATGAGTTGTTACTGTTGCACGTTAATATTAAAGTAAAAAAAGCATAATTATTCCATGAATATTTTTATGAGGTTCTGAATTTTAAATTTTTACAAGATTGGATATTAACGCATAAATATATCTATCAATGAATTTCCAGGTCAAGGTTATGATGAAATAAGTAATAAAATATAATGGTTCACAAAAAAAAAATAAAAAAATACATTGAATTAAACCTTATAAACCCTAGTAATGTTACTGGAATTTATAATTTAAACTTTAAACTTACACAAAATTTTTAAATAAAAATTTTTCCTACAAGAAAAATGTTCAATATACTTTCACTTTTGGTTTATTTATAAACACGAGAAATTGTTGAATTTTTAGTACATGATTTTCATAAGTAGATCATTTTTTAATTAAACACAGTTTTTTTAATTTACTTTCTAAGTACAAATTTGGATGAAATTAGTTATTAATAATTATTACTGACAAAGAATAACTATTTTAAATAAAATTGAACTTGAAACACCTATCGTATATTAATATAAAGTATGCACATAATGACATTTTCAAATGCAATATTTTTGTCAAAAATGTAGTCAAATTACCGTCTATTGTTAATAGTAAAATTTTAAAATGAATCGCTTTAAGAACCATATAAATATAAAATATGCACGGTAATATTGGCTGACAGAATAGTTTTTTGTACCTATATGCAATGATCTATCAACGATCACCGGATACAAATATAACACCGTATATTAAAGTGGCTCATAAATTATGAGAGATACTTGCAAGACCTACCGTACACCACAGCGGATACCTTTCCTTTCCTTCTTTTTTTGCGATTCAGGCTTGAATTTTTAACAAAAGATTTCTAATTTCAAAACTGTACAAAGTTATGATATAATTTTCATGAAATTTTGAATCATTTTGATCTATTTATCCATATGGATTT